TTTTTTGTTTTTTTTGAGACGGGAGTCTCGGGCTCTGTCCGCCAGGGCTGGAGCTGCGAGTGCGTGTCAGCTCACCGCAAGCTCCGCCTTCCCGGGGTTCACGCCATGGTGCGCCTGCCGCTCGAGCCTCCGAGTAGCGTGGACGTGCGCGCGGACTACAGACGCCCGCCACTCGCCGGCTGGGTTTTTTCTGTATTTTTAGTAGGAGACGGGGTTTCACCGTGTTAGCCCAAGATGGTCTGGATCTCCGTCATCTCGGATCCGGGCCGCTCGGCCTCCCAAAGTGCTGAGATTACAGGCTTGAGCCACCGCGCCCGGCCTTCTTTCTTCTTTTTTTGAGACAGAATCTCACTTTGTCACCCAGGCTTGAGTGCAGTGGCGCGATCTCAGCTCACTGCAGCCTCCGCCTCCCAGGTTCAAACTATTCTCGTGCCTCAGCCTCCTGAGTAGCTGGGATTATAGGCACCTGCCCTCATGCCTGGCTGATTTTTTGTGTTTTTAGTAAAGAGGAAGTTTCACCATATTGGCCAGGCTGGTTTTGAACTCCTGGTCTCAAGTGATCCACCTGCCTCAGACTACCAAAGTGTTGGGATTACAGGCGTCAGCCACTGCACCCAGCCTGTTTTGTTTATCTTAAGACCAGGTGTGGCAGCTGGTGCTGGGTAAACGCCCTGTGACTTTTCCTGCTTCACACAAAACAGGAACAAACAGAAAACTGGGCAGTTGAGACTTGGGCTAGAGCTATTTGCTCTTCCATGCTTTCCTTAAAAAATCAGTTTAGCTCTCCTTTTTGAGTAGCTGGAGAGCAGCCTCTTACCCTTTCACAATTATTCTGTCAAAGTTCCACTTTAGGACGGGACACTCTGGGTGTGCCTCTGAGTCTCCCCATGCCTGCAGCAAAGCTGCCACTTCCCTGTTCGGCCCAGTCTGTGTGCTGGGTCCGGCAGGCACTGAGCAGGGTAGGGCTGCGGGACCTCCTTGCCACACTGTGATCTCTGGGTCCAGCAGGCACTGAGCAGGGCAGGGCTGTGGGGCCTCCTTGCCACGCTGTGATCTCGGGCACAGAGGATCGGCTTCTGTGGTCTTCAGTTTCCTGGAGCGCCCAGTCCCTTCGCTCACGCCTCCAGTCCACTCTGGGGTCTTACCACACTTCCTGCCAGGCTGTTCACCTCTCCGTTCTGATCATTCTGTTAGAGGTGTCATTCATTGCTGCCCTTACAGTTGCACACCTAGTAACCTAATGGAATTATTTGTGATTGTGTTAACTGTGTAAGAAAATGCAGTATGACTTTCAGATTGAATTCTTCTGCCTCTGTGGGCCAGCATTATTTCCGGTTTTCAAATGCAAACTCACACGTGCTTGTGGTCCTTTCAAATAAATTCAAACTTGAATTAAACAGGTGACTTGGTAAAAACGTTGCGCTGTCTCCAGGTAGATTGCGTCAAGATTGAGTTTGAGGAGACCTAGCTGGTGTCTCTGGCTTGTTGCAGGGAAAGCGCCCACGTTTCTGTGTTGATTGTTGTGTTGGTGTGAGAGTAGAGGAGAGAAATGGTTTGAGTTTTTTCCCAAATAGTAGAAAATTTACCTTTAATTTAAATCAGGTTCAGTTTTTAATGTCAGGGCTTTTCCCAGTGTTACAGACCCTGACAGTTGGTGTTACTTCGTTCTAACCAGGGATTACATCTACTACAATGATGTGTACGCCTTTAATCTGGACACCTTCACATGGAGCAAGCTGTCCCCGTCAGGCACGGGGCCCACACCCAGATCAGGCTGCCAGATGTCCGTCACTCCCCAGGGCGGCATCGTCATCTACGGGGGCTACTCGAAACAGGTGAGGCGCGGGGTGGGGAAACGGGTAAGGGCGCCCGCGTAGGGGGGCGGGAAACAGGTAAGGTCCGCGTGGGGAAACAGGTAAGGTCCGCGTGGGGAAACAGGTAAGGCGCGGGTTGGGGAAACAGGTAAGGCGCGGGTTGGGGAAACAGGTAAGGCGCGGGTTGGGGAAACAGGTAAGGCGCGGGGTGGGGAGACAGGTAAGGCGCAGGATAGGGAGACAGGTAAGGCGTGGGTTGGGGAAACAGGTAAGGCGCGGGTTGGGGAAACAGGTAAGGCGCAGGATAGGGAAACAGGTAAGGCGCGGGGTGGGGAGACAGGTAAGGCGCAGGGTGGGGAAAGAGGCACTACTGTCTGTGGTCTCTTCAGTTTCATGAACATTGAAACTTTCACATGGGATTACTCTGGTTTAATATAAACAATTTTAATATAAACGGTTCTTTATATTGAATTAGAAGTAGAGATAGTGTTAATCGGCTCCACTGTGAACTTGGTGCGACTGTTGGGGCCGTGTTCTGTTCTCCACACCCCTCAGCAGTGCAGTGTGAGCGATTCTGTGTTCTGAGGGTCTCCTTCCTGCACCGTGGGTGCTCACTGCTGTGCAGTATTCCCTGTGGAATGAAATTCTCCTCGCTCCTGTTAACGGGCTTGTTTCTTCTGTAGCCTGAGAGCAGTGCTGGCAGGAATGTTCTCGTGCCCGCACCGGAGCCTCCTGCTGGTGGAGTGTGTGCTCCGCACATGTGCTGGCATCTCCCGCTCGTGGAGCGTGTGCTCCTCGGACGTTCATTGCTGCTTCATGCTGAGGTGTTCCATTTTGTGACTGTCCCACAGTTGGTGGTTCTGTTTTTCATTGGTGGACACCCGGGCTGTTTCCATTCTTCAGAAGACACAGCCTTTGGAAGCAGCTGTGACTAAAGCTGCTCTGAGCATGTCCATACGAATCTTTTGAGTGGCTACATGCGTTGGTTTATCTTGGGTAAGTGGCCCGTTCCACTTGTGCTGGAAATGTCGGGGAGTTCCGGCTGCTCCCTGTTCTTACCAACCCTGATGGCGTCAGTCTTTCCATTTTTAGCTATTCTGGTGGATGTGTGGTACCTCATGTTTTAATTCACAGTTCTCGATGACTGCTGGTGTTGGGCGCTTTTCATGAGCTTATCTTCCCTGAAGTGTGTGTTCACGTCGTCTGCTGTTTTTAATGGGCTGTGCTTTTGTGAGTGAGTTGCAGAAGGTGACGTTCTGGATACTTGTCCTTTTCAGGTGTGTGGACTCTCCCAGTAGTGGCATGGCTAGTCACCTTCTGAAGTGTTTGGTGATAAGTAGAAGCTTTGAGTTCTGATAATATCTAATTTATTACGTTTTTCTTTTGTGATTATTGCTCTCTGTGATACAGGAAGACCTTGTTTACCTCCAGTAACAAAGATTTTCTTATATTTTTTCTCTAAAAATTACATGGTTTTACAGTTAGTCCTGTGATCTACCTTGGACTAATTCTCAAGAGTAGCACGAGGTGGGTATTGAGGCTCATCTGTTTCCCCCGTATAGATACTCATCTCAGCATCATCTGTTGAAAAGGCTTTTTAGGCCGGGCACAGTGGCTCACGCCTGTAATGCCAGCACTTTGGAAGGCCGAGGTGGATGGATCACTTGAGGTCAGGAGTTCGAGATCAGCCTGGGCAACATGGTGAAACCCTGTCTCTACTAAAAAATACAAAAATTAGCCGGGTGTGGTGGGGCGTGTCTGTAATCCCAGCTACTCAGGAGGTTGAGGTAGGAGAATCACTTGAACCCGGGAGGTGGAGGTTGCAGTGAGCCAAGATTGTGCTACTATGTTCCAGCCTGGGCAATAGAGCAAGACTCTGTCTCAAAAAAAAAAAAAAAAGAAAAAAGAAAAGGCTTTTTATTCTCCGTTGAATACCTTAGGAACCTTTGTTGAAAATCACATGCCTGTGGGAACATAGGTCTGTTTCTCCGTTCGGATCCACGTCCGTCCTGACGCCAGTGTCCCACCAGCCTCGTTTTTACGCCTTTCTAGTAACTCCTGAAATGCAAGTCATTCAGCTGCTGCTTTTTCAAAATCGTTTTGACTATTCTAGCTTCTTAACATTTCTGTATACATTTTAGCATGAGCTTATTAATTTCTACCAAAAAGGGGGCAAAAAGCCTTTTCAGAAGCCTGCTGGGAATCTGATTAGAGTTGTTTTAAATCTGTAGATGAATCTGGGGGGGATTTGATGTCTTTGAGTCTTCCACTTCTTGAACATGGATTCTCTCTCAGTTTATTTTGGTTTTCTTTAATTTCTTTCTTTTTTTTTTTTTTTTTGAGAGAAGGTCTCACTCTTTCACCCAGGCTGGAGTGCAGTGGCACAATCACGGCTCACTGCGGTCTCTACCTGGGCTCAAGTGATCTCCTGCCTCAGCCCCACAAATAGCTGGGACCATCATGCCCAGCTAATTTTTGTGTTTTTTTGGTAGAGATAGGGTTTCGCCACGTCATCCAGACTAGTCTCGAACTACTGGGCTCAAGCAGTTTGCCCACCTCAGCCTCCCAGAGTGCTGGGATTACAGGCATAAGCCGCCGCACCTGGCCAGTTTCCTTTACTCTCTTTCAGCAGTGTTTTTTTATTTCTCAGTGTAAAGGACTTATATATATTTTATTAAATTTATGTTTATTGATGTGAGTGGAATTCTTGAAATTATACTTTCCGATTATTTCCTGCTAGTGTATAAAAACACATTTTAGGCCAGGCACGGTGGCTCACGCCTGTAATCCCAGCATCCCAGTGCTTTGGGAGGCCAAGGCTGTGGATCATGAGGGCAGGAGATCGAGACCATCCTGGCCAACACGGTGAAACCCTGCCTCTACTAAAAATACCAAAAAAAAAAGAAAAAGAAAAAAAAGCCGGGCATGGTGGCACGCGCCTATGGTCCCAGCTTCTCTGGAGGCTGAAGCAGGAGAGTAGCTTGAACCCAGGAGGCAGACGTTGCAGTGAGCCGAGATCATGCCACTGCACTCCAGCCTGGGTGACAGAAGCGAGACTCCGTCTCAAAAAAAAAACCAAAAAAACCCAAAATTAGTTGGGGGTGGTGGCATATGCCTGTGATCCCAGCCACTTGGGGGACTGAGGCAGGAGAATCACTTGAACCCCGGAGGTGGAAGTTGTGGTGAGCCGAGATCGCACCATTGCACTCCAGCCTGGGCAACGAGAGTGAAACTCTGTCTCAAAAAAAAAAAACACCACATTTTGTGTTTTTTTGTATATTCACCTTGCATTTTGTGATCATGCTGAATTCACTTATTTTTACTAGTTTCAGATTCATTAAGATTATGAAAGCAATCGTAGTAGCGCAAATGGGGCAGTTTTACTTACTCCTTTCTTATCGTTGTGCCTTTCATTTCTTCATCTTGTCTTCCTGCAGTAGCTGGGACTCCAGCACAGTGTTGAATGGAGGTGTGCAGAGTGAGATTGCTGGGGCTGTTCTGTCTTTGGAGGGAGGCGCCTAGCCACCCACCGCCAGGACCACCGGCTGTGGCTGCTTCCCAGATGTCCTTTAAGTTCTGTTCTGTTCTTCTATGAATTTCTATTATGAATGAGTGCATAGATTTTGTTAAATCCATTTATTGATTGTATGGTTTTTCTCTTTTGTTCAGTTTTTTAAAACTTTTAATTACATTTTACAAGTTTTATCAATGAATTTAAAATATTTTCTCATTTCCCTTGTGGCTTCATTGAACTGTGGATTACTTCAGAGCGCATTGTTTAACTTCAAGTCATTGAAATTTTCCCCAGTCTTATTGGTCGTGACTTCTGCTTATTCCATGGTGACTAGAAAACGTATTGTTTGTGAATTCAGAATGGCATTTCTGCCTGTTGCCAGGATGTTGAGATGCAGCAGCTTTCTGTGTGTTGAGCCTGGCGTCTGCAGCCTGAATGATGGCCAGTTATTCTGTGAGGTTATTCATCTGTGGTCAGTTACTCATCTGTGAGGTGCTTCGAGGTTTCTGTCTCGGTGATCGTGGCATTTGCAAGTGTGTTTCTTCCCCTCCAGTCCTCACATTCGTTCCTTCTTCCTGTCCGCTATGCTGTGTTCAGTGTCCTGAGATGGAGTCTTCCCTGTACACTGTGAAGAAAGGCTGGCCCAATATTTCTGGGCTGATTTGTGAGCAGAGCTCCCTAAAGGAAGACAGCTGAACTCTGCCAGAGTCCACCTAGGTCTTTCTAAGTGGACGTGTCCTCCAGCCTGTGATTGCGAGACCACAGACAGCATCCCGTGCCTCAGTTTCCCTCTGTGTGTTGCAAGTGGAGATGTGGCTCTAAACCCCCTTCTTCCCTATAGTCCTTCCCACCAGGGGATTTGCTTTCTTGCAGCTGTAGAAAAATGGTCTTTGCTTTTTAATTTCATCTGCCAAACGCAGAAAAAGTCGAATGCTTATTTGGTGCACATCAAGTCTTATTTTAGATGGTCAAGTTTAGGATTTCGGGATGTGTTACTGAGTGTTTCTTCATAAAGTGTGGGACTTGGGGTCTCGGTAAGCTTTAAATTTCATCCCTGCTTGGCCAAGAGTGCAGCTGAGAGGACCAAGTGAGTACTGACTGCCCTAGAGCAGGGCAGTGCCTTGGGTTGCTGGACCCAGACAGACCCGCGAAGAGGGAGGCACGGCGTGGGCTGGGACCAAGGGGAGAGGGGAAGGAGATGGTTAGGGTGAGTTTTCAAACAAGGACATGTTTATGAGCAAAGGAGCAGAGATGGAAATGTGCAGAGTACGTCTGGTGGAAGTTGGTAAGCCCACTGTGGCTGGAATTCAGAGGTCTGTGAGGGTGGCAAGAGCCCAGGGCTGGAAAGGGCAGTATGTCAGGAGGCATTGAGCTCCTCCCTCGGGAACCGGTTCCAGCAAGGCAGTACCTGAGAGGGAGGGGTGCTGAGCTGGCATCAACAGTGCAGGGTTCTGGGGGGGGTGCTGGCAGGGCAGATGAGTTAAGGGGCAGCAAGCCTGGTAACGGC